AGCTGGAACAGGTGCTGTAAGACAAGAAATAGTCACTAACGTCTACTTTCGGCTTCTTCCCAAAGACTTCAGAGGAACAAACAGACCATGGAAGATGCACATGGATGGACAGCCATGACAATAATGGCGACTTATCTTTAACCACTTGAGCTCCAGAGGATTTACCACCCTTAATGACCAGGCCTTTTTTTGCTGTTTGGCGCTGGACTAATTCAAATGATAATTGCGCGCGGTCATGCAATGCTGTACCCAAATGAAATTTACGTCCTTTTTTTCACACAAATAGAGCTTTCTGGTGGTATTTTATCACCTGTGCGCTTTTTATTTTTTGCGCTATAAACAAAAAAACCACGAAAATTTTGAAAAAAAAACAATATTTTCTATTTTCAGCTATAAAAAATATATCATAAACTCAAAGTTAGTCATAAATTTAAGCCAAAATGTATTCTGCTACATGTTTTTGGTAAAAAAAATCCCAATAAGTGTATATTGATTGCTTTGTGTGAACGTTATAGCGTCTACAAACTATGGTATAGATACTGTAATTTATGCCTTTTTTTGCTATACAGCGCTGCACTAATTCAAATGATAATTGCGCGGTCATGCAATGCTGCACCCAAACGAAATTTATGTCCTTTTTTTCACACAAATAGAGCTTTCTTTTGGTGGTACTTGATCACCTGTGCGCTTTTTATTTTTTGCGCTATAATAAAAAAAAACACGAAAATTTTGAAAAAAAAAAACAATATTTTCTACTTTCAGCTATAAAAAATATATCGTAAACTCAAAGTTAGTCATAAATTTAAGCCAAAATGTATTCTGCTACATGTTTTTGGTAAAAAAAATCCCGTGCATTAGCGGGCAAACTGGCGCTATCTAGGAGGGGCGCTAACACTATCGGAAGTCACCAGTGACACTAATACAGTGATCAGTAAAAATCTGTTCACTGTAATCAATGACACTGGTGACAGGGCAATGAAGGGGTTAACTGGGGGGGGCGATCAAGGGGTTAAATAGGATTTCTGGTGATAGCGGGCAAACTGGAGCTATCTGGGAGGGGCGCTAACACTATCGGAAGTCGCCAGCGACACTGATACAGTGATCAGTAAAAATTGGTTTACTGATCAGTGACACTGGTGACAGGGCAGTGAAGGGGTTAACTGGGGGGGGCGATCAAGGGGTTAAACGGGATTACTGGTGTGCTGGCGGGCGATCTGGCGCTATCTGGGAGGGGCGCTAACACTATCGGAAGTCGCCAGCGACACTGATACAGTGATCAGTAAAAATCGGTTCACTGATCAGTGACACTGGTGACAGGGCAGTGAAGGGGTTAACTGGGGGGGGGCGATCAAGGGGTTAAACGGGATTACTGGTGTACTGGCGGGCAATCTGACGCCATCTGGGAGGGGCGCTAACACTATCGGAAGTCGCCAGCGACACTGATACAGTGATCAGTAAAAATCGCTTCACTGATCAGTGACACTGGTGACAGGGCAGTGAAGGGGTTAACTGGGGGGGGGGCGATCAAGGGGTTAAATGTGTCCTAGGTGTGCTCTAACTGTAAATGTGTAGTGTTATACTCACTTTTACTGTGTCTTCTTCTCTGTCTGGAACGGAATGTGTCCAGGCAGAGAAGAATGACATCATATCCTGCCCTGTGTAAATGTCAACACAGGACAGGATAGGACAGGGACCGATCATCTGATTTCAGCCAGACATCACTGGCTGAAATCTAATGATTGATCCCTCCTGGATCGAATTGTGTCACCCGCGGGTCGGCGGGAACGCGCGCGCGCGCGCCCCCTACCCGCGACAGTGTCGGGGAGCGCGGAGTCCGTTTTAAAACGTGGTTTTTGCGCTCCACTGCCGCCCTGCACACGTATATATACAGTGGCAGGGCGGCAAGCGGTTAAACTTCGGCTTTGATATTTCTGAACTGTTCATGATACGCATTACATTGTTATTTTAAGCCATTGTGTGATAAAATAAAATCACACTTTATTTTTTCCGGCTCTTTAATCACAAGCAAAATTGACTATAGACACTAAAGAAGTATTATATGTGTCTCAAATATCCAACATTTTGGCGAGTCAGCCTCCGCCACAGTTTTTCTCCGGTTTTCTGCTTCCTTGATAAGGGAGATAAATCACAGTTCTTTGCTCAAGTCTGAGAAAAACACAGTGAAAAGAACCTAGAAGACAAGGTGATTGACCAGACGTGGACAAGAGGTCCAGTGACTGAGCCGGGTCAAAAAAGAAAATCTTCTGATTACGGTGAGTAACAGTTATGGAATTTATTGATGAATTAGTTAGAGAAAGCAAGCTGGAGTTTAAAGATGTTTCTTTATATCCTGATGATGGTCGCTTATGGCAGTACATGTACAATGAATGTTTACAGGCCAATATTCAGATAGAAAAAAAAATCTAGATTTACTGTAATCCAACACTGCACATAGGTCATAGTGAGAGTGTGTCACAGAATTTAACCACTTAAAGTCACTTTTACCCCCTTCCTGTCCAGGCCAATTTTCAGCGTTCAGTGCTATCACACTTTGAATGACAATTGTGCGATCATGCAACACTGTACCCATATTAATGTTTTAGCATTTTTTTTTGAGACAGATAAAACTTGATTTTGGTGATATTTATTCACCACTGGGATTTTTTATTTTTTTTTGCTATATAAATGATAAAGTCCAAACATTTTGAAAAAAAAGTTTTTCTTATAACATTTTGCAAATACATAATCTTTCTTCATAAATCTTGGCCAACATTTATTCAGTTATCTTTTTAGTAAAATAGAATAACCCAAATTAGTTCATAACCAAAAATTATAATTTTTAAAAACATTTTTTACATTTTTATTTTATTATTTTATATTATTAATTGTTTTTGTTTTTAACATACTGTCACCCTAGCAGTACAGTGTCACCATAGTGACACTGTACTACTTGTAGGGGGTGATGATGATTTTTTTTTTTACACTGCTTTTTATACCAATAAAGGCTGTAAAAGCAATCATTTCTTCTTCTCTCTGCATTCTTGCAGCCATTGAGAAATACTGCGAGAGCTGTGATTGGTCACAGTTTGTCACATGGTACAAGGCTGTTGTGAATAGCTTTGTACCATGTGACCTCTGTGATCATTCACATATTTCACAAGTAGTAAGCAATGATGTCTGAAAGTGACATCTTGCTTACTACTATTCATGTGATCACTGATTGGCCAATCAGTGATCACATGATCGGAACCTCACACAGAGGTCCTGTACAGCAATCAGTGTGCCTCCGGACACAGCAGGCACCGGATCCCAGGGAGCACGCACAGGCTGTAAATGTGGGCGCCATTTATGAATGGCAACCCGCTCCTGCACTGCTCCCGTTTATGTACATGGACCGGAAGGGAAGTGGTACATTATTTTGCATGGAAATATGTATTTTTTTATTGTAGGCCTGTAATTTTTAGGAATAACTCACTGAAATTTGTCCGAACAAGAGTCTAGTAAACATCCCGGGTATGTTAAAATTTGAAACACGAAATCATAAATTATAATTTAATAAATAATCATAAAAAAATAATAATTTAATAATAATACATTTAATTCAATAATATAATCAAACCAAAAACACTGAAATTTGAAATATAGCGCCAAGCTCGCACATCACTGAGCAAAGTCACAAAATCGTTTTCAGTGTCTGATGACGAATTTCCCCACGAATCATTATCACTCAATTCTGCAAGTAGTTCTAATTTACTATCACTGTTCTCTAGCTGGTTTAAAACCGCTTTTGACCTAAAGGGACGTTTTTTGGACACCATGGACATTTCTCAGTTTCCAGGCAGAAAGAACAGTAAAAATGCAGGCAGGGCACAGGACAAAGCACTAGGGACAAAATGTATGTGAAATGGTTTGATACAGTAATGTTATACTATGTGATTTTAGTGATTTTAGTGAATGTCACTTTTAAAATTGTCAAGTTTCCCGCCAGTTCCGTTGCCGTACGTCCCGACGTCGCAGGGAACCGAACACGGAAGACAGATGCCGGCATCCGCCGGAGGACATTGCCAGGGACACTGCAAGGGGGACATCGTGGGAGCGCAGGACAAGGTAAGTACAGAAGAGATCCCGGAGCAGCGCCGCATGGTATTTCCGAGTGTAGCTCGGGGTTACCGCTTGTGGTACTGAAACTTTACCCCGAGCTACACTCAGGAATACCTCCAGGGATGTTAAGGAACTAAATATGTGTGATCTTCACAAAGTAAGTTTATTTTGTTGAAATTAATATAAATAGGCTAGAATACATTGAAATACAAAGTGGAAATGAATATGTGATTTTAAAATTTGAGCAGTGCTATGCTTTATCCACCTTATCTCCCCCCACCCTTCAGTTTTTCACTTTCCTTATTGACTCCAATTCATTTCAATTACATTTGCAGGAATGTCTGTCCAATAATAACATGAATTCACTTTTTTTTTAATTAAGTTTTTCTACAACCATGTTTTTTTTTTCAAATGTAGAATAGGTTATGTACTGAAAAAAAAAAGAAAATGTGGTGCTACTACCCATACAGACCTCCATTAATAGAGCTGGCGGGTGCTCGATCTCTAGTCGCACAGCTAAGAATAATTGGCCATAAATTTTATCTGCACAACAGACATATCTTGTCTTTATTCAGAAAACAACTGTGTAAAAGTTACATTAACAAACAGTTGAAGCATTTCAGCCTACATAGCTTTAGTCATAACTGGAGAATGGAAAATGTTTATGTCCATGCTGTTAATTGATTTGATACACTGTGTGTCTCGCACAATAATATGTTCCGGATTCTTCCATTTTCATTCCACTGAGTTTTAAAAACACTTCTCCTTTATTTGTATCTCTGGACAGAGTCAGTCGTCCCTTAACAGAGTTGGCATAAGCTGTGTTGGCATTATGCCATATTACGCCCAACCACTCCATCTGTTTCCTTTCAGATTGTCGGATCCAGCTCACACCATACATGTTAGTGCTGTCAGTGAGGGAGGCTCCGGTCACTTTACAGGTCAGTTCCAGAGTCTCTGATGGCTTCATGGTCCCAGGACCAGACTCCACCATTGTGATTTCTGATGTGACACCTGCAAATATAGATTATATTTTGTTATATTCTTCATCCTATAATTTAGTTCAAATAAACTTTCAAGTGAGAAAAATATATGAAAAGTAACACACATTGTACTAAAGACACAATGAAAAGTAACCACAGGAGATGTGTCATGTCTGAAGATGATTAGAGCGGATTCTGCTCATGTAATGTAGCCTGTGAATGGCTCTGTATTTAAAATAAAATCCTGGCATGAACACATTTTGCATACATGGAAATAATTGGGTGAGTTGAACCAAATAGATAACTGGTTTGTTTTCAAGCAAATTTTTGGTGTGAACAAGACACATAGGAAACCATTATTTCCTGTGTGTCTTGCAGAGACTTGCTGTTTTCTGCAGATGGTGTGAACGAGCCCTAACATTAGCTTCTGCACGGAGGTACATAGAGTCTATGTTCCCATGTGAATGAGGACTATAAGAAAAAGCTCTCTTAAGGCTCATTCACATGGGTGTCCAGGGGGATGTAATTGCAGGCATGTAAGCAGCAGTTTTACAATCCTCAACTGCCCACCTAAACAGAGGAATGCAGCTGCTCAGGACTGTACACATGCCATTAAATGTAAGCAGTATGGCCACTGAACGTGACCCATTTAGGTGAATTGGGCCATACTACAAACAACCTGCAGCCACATGCCATGCTCAGATCAGCATTTGAGAGTCAAATGTCTGCTGAAAAGTAATCCACTTTGGATCACTTTTTAGAGGGGTGGAAATGATAGCCAATGATGTGTGAAAAAGCCCTTAGGGAGTTGGTGCTGCTTCTTTCCAGCACTTCTGGGTGTGTCGGATGTTGTGTTCTCTGCTGGACACTGTGGTTTCTTCGGATGGCCACTACAACACTGATATGTTGCTTGTTCACATAGTTACAGGGATCACTTTAGACAGAAACTTTAAACAAATATGTTTTGCACAGACTGAAATAACTTAGTGGATAGTTTATTATAGTGCATAACAGTAGGTCTCCTAGGTCACACATATCTAATGTAGAGGCAATTATCTTCATTCCGGAGATGTCACAGTCTGGAACTCAGAATAGAGCAGTCACTGACATTCAGCAAAGGTCACCTAAGAACATTACTTCTGGGGCCCTGTATGTGAGGATAACTGGGCCCCGGTGTTATAGGTACTCATAGGAAGGATTTTCCTCCAAGCAAAATCACCAAAATAAAGACTGGTGCTGGCTTCAAAGATTAAAGTCGGCCATACATGAAGCAGAATTTGGCCAGTTAAGCTGGGACCAGATGAATTTCAATCAATGTATGGGCACTTTGGTTGTACAGAGGTTGACTAACTTCTGTACAACTGCCCTGTTGGATTTTCCCTGCTTGATTAGAGCTGCAGGCTACTGTAGGCAGTGCTGGTCACTGTTGTTTGATGATGGGGAACGTATCCCACTGTGAGGATACAATATCTCAGCATTACTGATTCCCCCATCCACATAGAGTGTATGGAAGGAGGAATCAAGTCAGTCTCTTTCATTCAACCCGCTGGTTGAAAGAAAAAACACTCATTTATGGGCTGCCTAAGGAGAGCAAAGAGGGCAGAGATTAGTGGGAATCAATTATTAATTAAAAGTTATCTGTAATCACATCAGTGATAAAGCTGCCACTATTTGTATATATTATTTGATAGACCATAAACATATTTTTCTTTTTCAGATCTGCACTGTGTAAAGTACAAAAATCACCTCTATTTTACAATAAAAAAAATATCAGCACAGGACATAGTCAAGACATAAGTCATTCCTAGTCAGCTTCAGTATCACCAAGTGAAATTCATTACTATATTTGGTCACTAGTCAGCATAGTGGATACCTGGTTACAGGGGCAGACTGACAACTCATGGGGCCCCTGGGCAATAGGGGATCATGGGGCACCTTTGTCCTCGCCCACACTCAAACCACAACCAAAAAAGCCTATGATAGGTACCAGGGGCATCTCATGGGGCCCCTTACTGACCCGGGCCCTTGGGCAGTGCCCGAATTTCCTAATTGTCAGTCTGCCCCTGCGTGGTTAGCACTTCCACATAGCAGGCCTGGGGTCCTCTGTTCAAACCTCAACCACAGCACTACCTGAATGGAGTTTGCATGTTCTCCCTGTGCCTGTGGGGGGTTTCCTTCCACACTCCAAATATATGAGGATAGGTTAATTAGCTCCTTTCTAAATTGGCCCTAGTATATATATATATATATATGGATTTTTATTATTTTTTTACATACTGTCACCAGTCAGTGTGCCTGATCACTGTCATGCCAGTTATATGGTAATGCTGTATTAGACTGGTGACAATATGTTAAAAAAACTAACATTTTTTTTTTTTTTTAATTTCTTAATTTTCAAAAAAATTGTGACAAAGAAATTACAACTTCAAAAAACTCACCATGCCTCTTTCTACAATGCATCCAAAAAGTATTCACTTACCTTTTGCCATATTTTGTTATGTTACCGCCTAATTCCAAAATGGATTAAATTATTTTTTTCCTCAACATTCTACAAACAATACCCCATAATGAAGTTCATTTTGAAATCTTTATTAACAATAAAAAATGAAAAAAAAAACAACACATGTACATAAGTATTCACAGGCTTTGCCATGACAGTCAAAAGTGAGCTCTGCTGCATCCTGTTCCCACTGATCATCCTTGAGATGTTTCCACAACTTGATTGGAGTCCACCTGTGGGAAACACAGTTGATTGGATATGATTAGGAAAGGTATAAACCTGTCTATATAAGGTGCCACAGTTAACAGTGCATGTCAGAGCACAAATCAAGCCATGAAGTCCAAGAAATTGTCCATAGACCTCCGAGACAGGATTGTATCAAGGCACAGATCTTGGGAAGGGCACAGAAAAATTTCTGTAGCATTGAAGGTCCCAATGAGCACAGTGGCCTCCATCATCTGTAAATAGAAGAAGTTTGGAACCACCGGTAATTTTCCTAGAGCGGGCCGCCGACCAAAAAGAGCGATTGAGGGAGAAAGGCCTTAGCCAGGGAGGTAGCCAAGCACCTGATGGTCACTCTGAAAGAGCTCCAGTGTATCTCTGTGGAGAGAGGAGAACCTTCCAGAAGAACAACCATCTCTGCAGCACTCCACCAATCAGGCCTGTATGGTAGAGTGGCCAGACAGAAGCCACTCTTCAGTAAAAGGCAAATGGCAGCTCGCCTGGAGTTTGCCAAAAGGCACCAGAGGGACTCTCAGACCATGAGAAACAAAACTCTCTGGCTTGATGAAACAAAGATTGAGCTCTTTGGTCTGAATGCCAAGCATCATGTCTGGAGGAAACCAGGCACCACTCACCACCTGGCCAATACCATCCCTACAGTGAAGCATGGTGGTGGCATCATGCTGTGAGGATGTTTTTCAGTGGCAGGAACTGGGAGACTTGTCAGGATCGAACGAAAGATGAATGCAGCAATGTGCAGAGACATCCTTGATGAAAATCTGTTCCAGTGCGCTCTGGACCTTAGACCGGGGCGACGGTTCATCTTTCAACAGGACAACGACCCTAAGCACACAGCCCACATAACAAAGGAGTGGCTATGGGCCATTCACAGAATGTCCTGGATTGGCCCAGCCAGAGCCCATACTTGAACCCGATTGAACATCTGAGAGATCTGAAAATGGCTGTGCACCGACGCTCCCCATCCAACCTGATGGAGCTTGAGAGGTACTGCAAAGAAGAATGGGAGAAATTGCCCTAAAATAGGTGTAGCTTGTACTCATATACTCATACTCATCATACTCAAAACGACTTGTGGCTGTAATTGGTACTAAAGGTGCTTCAACGAAGTATTGAGCAAATGCTGTGAATACTTATGTACTGTACATGTGGTTTTTTTTTTCGTTTTTTATTTTTAATAAATTGCAAAGATTTCAAAACAAACTTATTTCACATTGTCATTATGGGGTATTGTTTGTAGAATGTTGAGGAAAAAAATGAATTTAATTCATTTTGGAATAAGGCTGTAACAGGGGCGGACTGACCATTTGGAAACTCGGGCACTGCCCGAGGGCCCGGGGTCAGTAGGGGGCCCCATGAGATGCCCCTGGTACCTTTTTCATTGGCTTTTTTGAGTTTGGGCAAGGACACAGGGGCCTCATGATCCCCTATTGCCCGTGGTCCCCAGGAGTTGTCAGTCTGCCCCTGGGCTGTAACATAACAAAATGTGGCAAAAGTTAAGCACTGTGAATACTTTCTAGATGCAATGTAAATACCTTGGACTGTCTATTTTCCAAAAAGGGGTCATTTATGGGGTATTTGTACTATCCTGGTATTTTCAGGCCTCAAGAAATGAGATAGGCCATCAGTACATCAGATTTTCAGATATACACTATATTACCAAAAGTTTGGGACGCCTGCCTTGACACGCACATGAACTTTAATGGCATCCCAGTCTTAGTCCATAGGGTTCAATATTGAGTTGGCCCAGCTATAACAGATCCAACTCTTCTGGGAAGGCTGTCCACAATGTTAAGGAGTGTGTCTATGGGAATGTTTGACCATTCTTCCAGAAATGCATTTGTGACGTCAGGCACCAAAGTCAGACGAGAAGGCCTGGCTCGCAGTCTCCACTCTAAATCATCCCAAAGGTGTTCTATTGGGTTGAGGTCAGGACAGTATTGCATGACCTCTCAACTGTCATTCAAAGTGCGACATCCCTGAAAGCTGAAAACTGGCCTGGGCAGGAAGGGGGTAAAAGTGCCCAGCATTGATAAGTGCACCATTTTTAGGGTGGAACATGTAACATGTTCCCAATACTGCAGCCACTGCACGATTCAGTCTCTTTAAATAAATTAAATACAAATAATGAAAACAAATTAAATGCACCTCCGTCTCCCCCTATGCTTGTACAGAAATGTAAATATGCATGTAGGTCCCGTATGCACAATTGTGATTGCACCACGCATGAGAGATACTTTTCATGAACACACACACACACACACACACACA